ATTATTATTTTAGAATAATCTAAAGAAGCAACTAGTTTTAACTATTGTGTGGTTTTTTTTTTTAAAAAGGTATTATTATGGTAACTAAAGACTAAATAAATAAAAATTGTATCCGAAAAAAACTTAATTTTGTTTATGTTTATTATAAACGATATTGATTTCCTTATTCGAAAGAAGTTAGACACTCAGTTTGTATCAAAGGTTGTTCAACGTCAAGTTGTTCGTTGAGGTATTGTGAATAATCCAAGTCTATAAACTCGTATGATTCGTATGATAAATCAGTATTTAAATTTTCATACATACTAGGAGATAGGCTTTGGAAAGTATTATTATCATCTTGCCATAAAGAAAAATATTCAGGTGATGTAGGAAATTCGGAAGATTGAAAGAAATCTGTATCCGTAGGCATTATCCAAAATAATGAAGATAAATATTGATTATCTGAAAGAGGTGGAGAAGAAGACCCTGATGAAGGAGATGATTCACAAGTAGAACTAGAGTTATCCTCGACTTGACCAGAGTTCAATTTTAATTGTTTGTAGAGTTGGCGTACTTCTTTAGCGATTGCTTTATATTTATCTTTTACTTCATTTGATTCACGTTTCCAAGAGATCGAAACCCAAGGAGAAACATCAGTCATTTTAAATCTCAAATTTTGAGCAACCAATTCCTTTGTATATACTTTACGATAAATAAAGAAAGCATTTGGTGGCTTCGAAGGAAGCTTACGAGTTTTACAGTTCATTAAATCCTCAGGATTTATTTGAGGTGGGAAAGGTAAAACTAAAGTAGGTGGAGGACTAACAAGTTTCTGTTTTTGCGGTTCAACATTTTGAACCAAAGAAGAACTATGTATTGTGATTGGTTGTAAGTTAGCAGAATCTATTCCTTGTAAATGGAAACGTCTTGCTAAAGTTTTTTGAGAAGAAATTGCTTTCGGCATTGTAATAAAGTTAAATAAAATTTACTTTGTTTAAATAATTATAATAATAAAAAAGTTTTTAATTGTTGTGAATTAATTCTTTTGAAGAA